TGTTGTACTAGAACTTTTATTCAGACAACATGCCTTTTTTATTATCTAAAGTAAATGGAGTTATCTTATGTTTTAATATTTTATATTTTTTTTCAGTGAACCTGTATAGTGTGAACTGGTATAATAAAAGCTGCCACATTATTGGAACCCTTCTTCATAGGTAAAAGTCAACATATATAATCCAGTGAATAATGTATGTACAAACTAATACAGGAAGTGTGTCACATTATATTTAATCAGTTAACAATGGTATGAATTTTAATAGGTGGAAAAGTGTACTTTGAAGAATTTTGTGAATCAGTTTTCTCCAAAGCTTTTCATTTCCTTTAGGGAATAATCACTGAGTGAAATTTTCTTCTGGAATCTAAAATACCAGCTAAACCAGTCTTGATATATTATTAGAAATTAAGAAACAATACAGACTTGAGATAAATACCTCTGCCAATGCAGGATTGCTAACTACAATATACTCTCCAATGTTTTGCACACTTTTGGTCTAACCATTTTTAACTCTGAGTTAAAAATATTAGAACCGTGTCTCTATGGCTATGAAATGGAGTAATAATGCATCACTAGCATAAGCAATGGTGGAAGCCACAGACAAGACTTGGGGCATTTTATCACAGTGGATGAGATTAGTGACAAACCCCTGAGAGATATTTATCCTAGTTTCCATCATTGCTTTTGCTAGTGAGAATTACAGCTACAAAAGTTAGCTTACTTTGATGTACTCTAGTAAGCACCCTTTGAGTCAACATTTCCCACATTTCTGAAAGCTGACCCCTCCTCAACGAAAATGTAACCATTCACTTTCCCCTTCAACACCATCATGCACTGTTAAAGGCCAACAACTCAATTTATATATTTTTCCACCCCAACCCCCTTGCGGGATGTGCCCCACATTTTGGGAAACATTGCTTCAGGTCAAGCTGCATGTAGTATTTGAACCCCTCTTCCCCCCCCCGCCACAAACATACACTTCAGCTTCTCCAACCTCTCAATGCTTTTTATTATTCTATGCATTTTATTTAATTTGTCAACATCCTTTTAGATATCACCAATTAGACACAGGCTTCTAGATACAGTTTCAGCAGTTCTGTACAGATAGGGACTATGAGTTTGCTGGTCCATGATAGAATCTCTCAATATAAAGTTTGTTTATTTTAAACCCAACTGTGCTGTCATGAATTAAAACATTTTCCTTCTCAGTGATAAATGTGCAGAACCAGTGCTTGGAAAAATGTACGAGTGCTTGGGATATTTATACTCACCCATAGGCGAGGTTATTAGCGCTGTCACATTACAAAATAGCAGACATAAAATTCTCATTAGTTATGTTGACATCCAAGTTAAAAAAAAAACACATTTGCTCAAGCTCTAGAGTTAGATATAAATATTTGTAAGCCACTTGGAATCTTAAGACTCAATTTTCAGAGGGTATGAAAGCAGATGTTGGCTCTGAACAGCAGAATAACAGCCACTAAAATTGCTAAAATGAAGACAAAAATGGATGATCAGAAACAAATGATTGTGAAGCCCAGAGCTTGCAGAATATCAGAAAGCTGGGGTTCTCAATTGTGAAATTTACAAAACATTGAAACTCTGATACGTCACAAAACATTGGACAGTAAAAATTTAGTAATAGTACTTGAGCCAGGAGGGCTTTATAAAATGGTCAAGGACTGACTACAATAAATTCCAGACAACAGGTCCATGCAGTTGAACGATTACATGTCTTAATGTAACCAGTTGCAGGCTTAAGTGTCTTTTGGTATTAAAATTCCAAAATGCAAATAGAGTTAGAAAGCAATGTATTTACTTCCCTAAATATATCAACATTGTTCACAAATGTTAGAAAAAATTTACTTTATTTCCTGCTCCAATCTCTGCATGTTCTTTCCCCGAGCTCAATTATTTGCAACACCCCTCCCCCACATTTATAAACACTGACACACCTCACCAGATCTTTGATTCAGACCAGACCTACTAACAATGGCATCCCATTGGTTTGCTATTACCCTGTAGTTTATATTTGCACTGGACAGAACACCTCTGCACATTACCTTCACCTGTTAGTTTTTAAATAGAAGTGATTTGCTATTTATAAACCCCTAAAGCTTGCCTTTATTGAGGTTCTTAAGATTTCTCAGCCTGCGCTACATCTTAATAGTGGTCACTGACAGCCCCTCTCAATAATCTTTACATTTGTACACCTATTTATCAAGGTATTTCTACATGAGAAGTAGGAAAAGTGTTTAGGTATTTTTCCTTTGATGTGTTCTTCCTTAGATGCATCCCTGTAGTGCAGTTCTATTCCCTTCCAATGTTTTACTGCAGGAGCTCTGCAAAAGCTGTCTCAGCCCCATTTCACTTCCTCCACACTCCTTGCTCATGTTGCCTAGCTGTCAAACCAGTCATCTCTCCTGCATGTTCTAGTCCTACTCAAGGATCTGTCCCCATAGCACTTTCCAAATTTCTCCCAGAGCAGCTGTAGTTGATACTTGACAGACCATGGGCAAGGGCATCTTGCTTTCTCTCTTCTGTAGCAGCAACCCCTAGTGGAGGAAGATTTCCTGGTTTCTTTGTTACAGCTGCTTGTTCAGGTGTTTTTTCACCCATAGAAGCAGCTAAAAATGAGAACCCACCACCCCATGAATTGCTGCTTCTCTGTAGATGGCCACTGATCCAGCATCAGAGTTGAAGGAGTCAGTATTCTCAATGATGATGTTTTCTCCTTATATTTGCTTTTTTTTTTTGGCTAACAAATTGATGTTATGCTATCAGACAAAAAGTGATCCTGACAGGTGTTCAACTCCCTTTCAATACACAACAGAGGTACACTTAGAACAAGTGGAAGATGGGCATATCCCACAAACTTAGTATAAAATTCTCTTAATTATGCATTCACATGGTTCCAGCTTACCAACACTTTGGTAAACTTTGTGACCTGTAATCACTGGGGTGTAATTACAGTTTGGAAGAAATACCCATGGGAAGTAGTGCATGCACTTCCCTCAGCACACCCCCCACCAAAAAGGTCCTTTTGTAGTGTTCTTTCACTGGAGTGGAGGACTTGCCCCTTCCTGTCCCACAAAACAGGCAGTAGTTTTGACCCTGGGAGTCTCAATGTTGTCAGCTGCTACTGTTGCCACCACCACCTGGACTCTCCTTTAACAGGGAAAGGAGGAAATCTGACTAGCATGGAAGAGGCCACAAGTACACTCTCAGGCATTAGTCACTCTGCATAGATCAGGGTGATTAGAGAGCATCTGTGATGACCACGTACTTCACTCTTCCTACTACAGGGAGTTTTGAGTGACTAAAGGACGACTATCCAAAGTAGTTATTGAAAATGAGGCATTCTACCCATTAACCATTTTAAATTTACCAGTTTGGGTGTACAGTCCCAGCTTCAAGCTAGATAAACCACATTTGTTTTAACACTATCATTTGTTCTGCTTAAGTACAATAGCTGTGCTTTAAGAACATTTATTCCCACATGGAAGAAGAACTGCTTTTAAGGGATTTGCTTAGAATATTAATGTTGGAGAGCATTCTATTTGACCTAGCATAGTTACATATTTTAAAACAGCCTGATTTGAACTCAGTTTTTCACAAACTCATGATTAGGAATCCAAACGAACTTAACTGCCCTTCTGCTAAATTTAAAATTAAAGTAGCAAATTAACATTAACAGATACCAACGTTTAAAGCTTGTTTTCTTTACGAGGTGTTAGTGCATTGCTCAAATACAGTGATGAGGAGTAACTGAAGGACCACTAGCATTTATATGACAGATGTGCTACTTTATTGAGCATACTTAAATGGCCTTTGGCAAAGCTTTAAAAAAAATAGAAGTTTAATAACCAATAATTTGGTGTTTTCTGCTTTTCAAAAGTAACTACTGGAAAACATTTCAGTACAGTTGTATCTGTTCAAACTAAAGCTTTTCCAACAGACAAGTGAAAGGCTTGGTTGAATGCAGATATTCAAAAGAATGCCTTTCAGAGAAAGGCACATTGTTTCCCTTCCTCACAAGACATATGCAAAACTCCTCTCCTGTTATGGGGATTTAAAAAGGGAAAATAGTAGTTCATTACATCTCAAGACTTAAAGCATTAATAATGACAAAACCCGTTTCCTGAATTATCTAGGTGAACCTCCTTGAAATCTAAAAGAGAAATCCTTGACTATTTAAGAGCTTAACATTAGTTATCCTTTGATGTGTTTCATGTGTATGATAATTACAAGCAGCTAAGTATTCCCCTTCAGTTGTTCAGTATCTACTAACTATGGGCCTGGAATGGTGCTCAACTACTGTTCAGGACTAGGGCTTTAATTACAATATTCTCATAGAAGTCTGTTTAACCACAACATACCATATTCTTCATGACTTAGGTCATTCTGTAAAATTTCAAAATAACCATGGCAGGCATTGGCACATTCAGTTTTCTGGAAGTATCCTGCACCAATGAGCTGCATTAGGTCAAGTTTACACTATAAACTTTTGCTACATCATAGCTACATCAATGTGGGGTGATCCAGTGTGATCTGAGAACATAGTTGTGCTGGCCAAAGTCCCCACCACAGACACAGCAGCAAAACTATGCTTTTGCCAGTATAAACTGACATATCTATACTGGCACAGCACTCCTTGTGTAGATATGGCCCTACGTGACAGTAACTCTAAAAAAGAAAGTATGACACTTACAATAAGAATATACAAGAAATTGTGTAATCAGTGCATTTTATTCAAATGACCTAGAACTATTGTGAATATAATACTTTAAATATCTGTAGTGGTGTGGTTCTCCTGCTATAATTAGCAAGGGCTATTAATTTCTGAGACAAGAATTGTGGCTGTTCTGAAGAGTGGCAGTTCCTTTGTTCTTTCTAATTTCACCTCTTTAACAAATGCAGCACATGATCTTAAGTTATTTGGCCAATATTTGGATTATAAATAGTCAGCGGAATCAATTCAAGAAGAATTTGGGGGTGCTGTAGAAACTCTTTTGCTTTTGTGCTAGCAACCCTCTTAGTTGCTGGACTGCCAGCCACACTGCCGCATCAAGTCAGCTGGCATGGAAGTCTAAAGGCAGTGCACTGCAGCTTCCAGGAGGCTGTGTGCGGAACTATGAAAAGACATTTAAAGCACAGTCTTCATGAACCAAATGGCATCTCAAGTTTTTAGGACCCATCCAAAAAATTCAAATTTTCACTACCCACCTCCAAACCAGATTTTAGCATTTATTAGACAGGTCTTTTAACACTTGCTCATGTTGCTGACTGGCTGCAGCCTTTCTTGGGTTGGGTTATGTTGCACCACTTTCAAAAGCAAATAGTACAATTTTCACTGCTGGCTCTCCTTCCAACCAGCAATCAAAAGGGTTGGTTTTTTTTTTTTAAAATGGCCCTTGAGCAAACTTGTTTTACTTCAAGTTTCTACAAGTCTGGCTGTGTTGTTTATCCCACCTTCTTCAAAGTCGTCACAACTTAGGAATGTTTGTCCTGCAAAAAATAGAGTTTGAAGTAACTGAAAGTGCTTCCAACAACAAAGATTAAAAGAGTATCACTACATCCTATGGTTTACTTAAAGGCAGTTTTGAAGTTTACAATCAAATTAGATAAATACAGTTATCTTGCTGGATTGACTAGAAAGTAAGTAATTTTGCACTACTGGATTTTGGTAAGGTGTTTTGTTATGCCATCCAGTTTCAAGTATTAAATGTAGTCCTGAAGCAACAAAAGTTGGGTACGTTTTCTAAAAGCCTTGCGAGTTTGAGGTCACCTTTATTAACCAGTCTGAAAAAACACAGTAGCCTTTTTAATCACATAAATGTTTATTTGTAATACATATAGGAAACATCCACTAAGTCAAAACACATACAAAAAAAGCAGCATATTTAGGCTCCCATTTAAGTGACAGGAAATGGCTAAAATATAACTAGCTAAAACATGAACAAGGCTATTCCTTTTAGTAAGGAAGACACTGAGAATTAATAGCCAAATGCGCTCTTATCAAAACATTTGTATATAGACTTAGCTTTTAATTTCCCCAGTTTTTATTGACTTCTATCCCAAATTACTTATTTTATCTTGGTTTGGATTTTTGTTTCAGTCTGTACTTGACTAGAATACACATTCCAAACCACCACACTGTGGACCTGTTAAGTCTAACCTAGTTGTTTTAATACCAGCCACAACACAGGGCAAATCAATTTCAGTCTTAACCCCAGAACAAGCAGTTTTTTTTTTTAAATAATTACAAGACTTCATCTCATCCCCTGGAGCCCAGATTTAAAGCAAAGCACATACCTGGCAACTGCTGGCTGCTCTGGGTCTCAAGTCTGCAAGGTCCCTGGAATAGAGCACAGAGAAGGAAGAGAGTGAGGATTGCTAGGCTCTAGCAATCAGGCACGTTACTGCCGAGGCTGGACATGACACACGTGTTACTTGCTCCAGTCAGATACTTTCACTAATTAGATAGTGAAAGCTTTGCCAAAAAGCAAGACGCTGCTCTTCCATGTCTAGGAAGGGAGACTGCCACAGGAGACAGGTCCCACGGATTCATGGACTGACCCTAACGGCGACACCGAGACGACCCCACCCCACGCGCACATGGGGCCGGGACCAGGCCCAGGGCCCGCGGTGGGTGCCAGCAGCCACACGGACCTGCCAGGGCCGGCTCCAGCCACCAGCTTGCCAACCAGGTGCTTGGGGCGGCACATCCAGATATTGGGCGGCAATTCGGCGGACGGCCCCTCACTCCCGCTGGGAGCGAAGGACCTCCCGCCGAATTGCGGCCGCAGATGGAGATCGCGTGTGTTTTTTTGTTTTTTGGGTTTTTTTGCCGCTTGGGGCGGCAAAAACCCTGGAGCCGGCCCTGGTACCTGCTGCTGGCGGCAGGCGGGAGAGCGCGGAGGCGGCCGGTGCAAGAGCAGGGGCCGCAAGGCCGGACTCACTCCCGACCCCTCGGAGAAGACGCGAGTGTATGTTGCGGTGCGGACCCCGGAACTCAACACTCCCTCCTCCCGCGTGACGGCTCCTACCTGCTGCATCCCGCTGCCCCCGGCGGCGGCTCCGCTGCGGTCCGGTCCCCACCTGCAGGGACACAATGAGCCACGTTACCGGAAAGGCGGTGGCGGCCCCCTCCCCCACCGCCTCTGGTCGCGCCACCAGCGCCCCCGGGGCCATGTTCTCCTCTGAGAAGACAGGCCTCGGCCGGGCGGGAGCGCGCGCCAAGCAGCGCGCCAGAAGAATGTAGCCCCGTGGCTGGGAGCGAGACGGGGCCCAGTCTCCGGCGCGCAGGAAATCCCGCTCCCACCACCACCCCGACGAGCGGCTACTGCCGCCCCTCCGCAACTAGAACAAGCGCGCCCGCCACGCGGCTCTCTCTAGCCAAGGCAGCAACCCCGCCCCTTCCGGCAAGACGTACTTCCGGCGTGTGTGAGGGGGGCGTGGCTACGCATTGGCGCGAGTTCCCCCTTCCTCGCGGTGCGACTGCGCAGGTGCGGGCTGCCTCGTCGTGCCGCGAGATGGGGGAGCGCGGGAGGAAGGACCCTGATGGTTCTGTGTCAACCGGGCTGCGCTGCTGGGCCCACGGTCACCAACGTGCCCTGATCCGCGCGGGGCTGTGCCGCGCGGTGTCGCAGCCGGGGAGGTTACAGCCGCCCTCGCTATGCCCCCGTCACTGCCACGTGCTCTGCACAGTTAGCTGAACGTTACTGATACACAGGCTGTACCCGAATTTGTGTGTGTGTGTGTGTGTGTGTGTGTGTGTGTGTGTGTGTGTGTGTGTGTGTGTGTGTGTGTGTGTGTGTGTGTGTGTGAGAGACCTGCGTTGGTCCAGAGCAACTTCTGTGAAAGCTTTGCTCTCCTGTGCAAATCTCAGCAGCCCTCTGGTTCCTGAGGATGCCCTTGGTTTATGTATCCTAGGGAGTTGCACACTTTGTCCATAGGCTGAGTGTGTTGCACACACCTGGGGGCATCTTGCATTCCTCCATTACCAACCCTTCAGAAACTCCCTGTGTGTCACCCTCCCATTATGGGTTTCAGGACCCCCTATGACTGCCTTTCTGTCAAGCCATGGATTTTGTGTTCCCCATTGACCCGCTTTCCCTCATTTCTCCCTCTCCCCCTTTCCCTCCATAGTAGGGCCCACATTCCCCAGGGGTCCTGACTGACCCATAATTCCCCCCCTTTCCCCATACCAGGGGCAATGTGTGCATTCTCATTCCCCTTTCTCCCCTATGCCTCCCCATTCTCCCATATCAGGGTCCCCCATTCTTCCGTAGCAAGGGTTTCTTTGTGCCTCCTATTCCTGCATTACCTTAGTACTTCTCTCCCATACCAAGGGCTCTTTGTGCGATCCCTTTCCACCCATTTCCTTTCCCTCCCATACCCGGATCCCCCATTCTGCCCCCTGACAGAGGTTCTGTGTGCCCCCCTTCTTCCCATTCCAGGGGCTCTGTGTCTCCCTATCTCCTCCCCTAAGACAGGAGCTCTGTGTGTGTTCCTATTTCCCTCTCCCCTTGTCTCCCCATTCTCCCTTCTTCCCACCAGTCGTATTTTTGCAGAAGTGGTTGAAGCTGGTAGCTCTGCAAACCAGGTATCAGGAGATCCATGTGTCCTCCATTTCCCCCATTTGTTTTTTCTGATTTTCATCAAAATCAATAGAGTTCTGGCCACTGATGACTAGCTTGTTCTCTGACATTTTGGAATTGTTCAGATGTGGCCTTAAAAAGTTATTGCATTGCATTACACACAATAGAGAAATGCCATTGAATTGCATGTTAGGCCTCAGTTTGCTTGGTCAATAATGTGAAGGTGCCAAGGATTGTTGTGATAGAAAGTTGAAAATATAAAAGAAGATTAGGGGAATAAAAAATGATCAAAGAGTGAGTCAAGTTCATTTGCTGAAAATTTTCTACCTTTGATCTCATTGAAATTCTGTGTTCGTATTCAATTTAGAAATATACCAGAAAGTGATGGTGGTAAGGATATTCTTTAGTAAGTACGAACAACAGTTTCTGGCCACTGGGTGGCACTGTTGCCCTGATCAGGTATTTAGATATTTATCAAAAAAATATTACTCTATGAAAGTTGTTGGGTTCAAGAAGGTTCATCCACTATTGCTTACAAGCATGTAAATATATAATCCAATGATGAACGGCATGTAAGGTTACAATACTCTTAATGGATATGCCAAACTACTGACTGCACGAGATCTTCAACCTGTTATACTAATTAACATGCTGAACACTTTACGTATACAATAGCTTCTAGTCAGATGATGGTAATATAATGACAATTCAGGTTTACATTAGCATTATGTGAAATATGTGTGGTATTTAAACTTTTGCAAGTCCATAATTTAATGTATTTTATTTTCAGAGGTATCACTGTGCAATACTGGTAATCTACCTATGGCCATCTCTATACTACAAACTTTGGTCGACGCAAGTTACGTTGGCATAAAGCTGCCACAGTTAGTATACCTATTGTGCACGTCCATACTTGGCTCCTTGCATCAGTGCTGCACATGCTCACCAGGTGCACCATGAGTAAATAACCCAGTGTGCAGCCCACCACCATCCAGTGCATTGTCTTTTGGGAAATTTTGGCAACGCATGGTGGGGCAGAAATGAGTTACACAGGGTGCCTGAGCTCAAGGAGTCAACTTCGAACATGACACTGTCTCCATCGCATAATGTCATCTATATCCCATAATTTTCATGCTTTTTTTCAAAATCCTACACACCCATGCAGCATGGGCATCACGTGAACTGTTGGCTGGGGGAGGCTAGCTCCCAGCCCTGCCCCTTCCACCAAAGCCAAGCCCCGCTCTGTCCAAGCCAAGCCCCCCTCCACCGGAGCCCAGAGCCACCCCTCCACCTCTGCCACCAGCCCAGTCCTGCGGCTAGTCCCCCCAGCCCCAAAGGAATGTTGGGAGGTATGTGGCCCCAGCCTCCTCAGCCCGGGGGCAGTAAGTCAGGCGGCGTGTGGCCCCAGCCTCCCCAGCTCCAGAGCACGGGTGGTGCGCTGCCCCAGTCCAGGAGCACGGGCGGTGTGTTGCCCCAGTCCCGGAGCATGGAAAGGCGGGCAGCATGCAGCCCCAGAGCACTGGGGGGCTGGACTTGGAGCCGGGAGGACTGGTGCCGCAGCCACATGCAGGGAGTGTGACGGCAGGGGGTGGGGTCACGCCTGGCTGTTTGGGGAAGCAACACCTCCCCCTGCCTATGCGACCCACCGCTCATGCCATGGAGCCTGACAGAAGCATGGAGTCTGCACAGCTCTGCACTATTGTCATAAGCATTGCAAGCTCAGGACACAGGATCCTCTGGTATTTGCAGAGCCGAAAGATGACCGGAACCAGATGATCAGTGACACCAAAATGAGAGCTGCACTGACAGTGGAAAAGCAAGTGGCAATCGCAGTGTTGGAACTTGCAACACTGGATTGCTACTGGATAGTGGGAAGTCATTTTGGTGTTGAGAAATCCGTTGTGGGGGCTGTTGTCATGTAAGTGTTCAGGGCCATTGATCGTCTCCTGCTATGCAGGTCTGTGACTCTAGGCAATGTGCAGGACATAGCGCATGGATTTGCAGCAATGTGGTTTCTGAATTGTTGTGGTGCAATAGATGCACATCCCTATTTTGGCACCAGGCCATCTTGCCAGAGTACATCAACAGGAAGGGCTACTTTTCTATGGTTATGCAAGTGTTGGATCACTAGGAACATTTCACCGACATCAGTGTTGGCTGGTCAAGAAAGGTGCATGATGTTTGCATCTTTAAGAACACAGGACTGTTCAGAAAGCTACAAGCAGTTTCTTTCTCGACTGGTGCATTATCATTGACAATGTTGAAATGCAATAGTGATCCTCAGGGACTCAGCCAACCCCTTGCTCATGAAGTAATATATCAACCACCTTGATAGCACCAAGGAAAGATTCAACTACGAGCTCAGCAGGTGTGGAAAGACAGTTGAATGCTCTTTTGATGGATTGAAGGGACGCTGGTATTGTTTACTCATAAGATTTGATCTCAGTGAAAAAACATCCCAATGGTTATAGCTGCTTGCTGTGTCCTGCATAATATCTGTGAAGCAAAGGATAAAAAATTGCCACCAGGATGGAGGTGGAGGGCTGTAGCTGAGGCAGGGCCTGCACAACCCATTAGGCAACCTAGGCGGTTGCCTAGGGCGCTACAATTTGGGGGGCGGCGACCGCGGCGGTATTTTGGCGGCGGGACCTTCCTCCGCCTCTGGGGGCAGGGGCGGCATTTCGGGGTGGGATCTTCTGCCGCCTAGGGTGGCAGAAAAGCTGGCAGCGCTCCTGAGCTGAGGCGACACGTGGGGGGGACATGTGGGGGCACGTGCTCCCCAGATTTGCTGCTTGGCTTCTCCTGAGCATGCTCAGTCGCCACCCCACTATCAGCAGGCAGACACAAGGGCTATTAGTAGAACTCAACATGGAGCTATATGGTTCAGGGAGGCTTTGAAAGCGCACTTTAGCAGTGAGCTACAGTAATGCATTGTAGTGTACTGTGCTCTACCTGGCCCTGGTGTTTTGGGGTCAGTTAGGATTTGTGTGGTGCTTGGTGTAGATCTATGAATATAACACTGTCAATACATATATTAATTTTGTGGTGCTTGCTGTAGATTTATGATTATTACACAGTGTTTGTCACTGATCCTATGAGCTGTGTCACACTGTACGGTAACAAGTAAGGGTGCTTTCAGAGCTGCTATGCACTTTGCAGCATATGTTGTGAATAATAAAGATGAATTATTTTCCAAAGAACAGAATTTTATTTAATAACAAAACCAGTGCAAAGAAAAATCTGAGCACTTTTAAAAGTACATTAAAAACGTAATAAATTAATGGAACAGAACTTATCAAGGGGAAAGAACATTCAGATGCATTTTACCTACACATACAGCAACCATGGCTCTCACAGATCAGTGTATGTGAAGCTGTGAGTGTCCTTAATTTCCCTGAGGGTGGAGTGGTAGGGGTAAGTATTTGGTCCCGGATGCCACGTGGAATGTTGAGGGAGGGTGTAGGGAGGTGCTGTAATGGAGTGCAAAGGGAGGCAAGCCCATGATTGTTGAATCTGTGATGTGCATGCTCAGAGGATCACTGTGTTTGTAATTGGAAGAACTGCAATCATTGTAGCACTTGTGTATTTCTTAATGCCTTTGGCATGGATATAACCCTTTATGTAACCATTTAGCTGGCTTATTCAATGTTGTACAATGAATAGCAATGGGAATAGCTCTCTGGGACTTTTAGACTGGCATTTTTCACTCAGACATAATTCTCTTCTCTAAGGTGAGTAGGGTTTGACTTAATTTTTAAACAATAGCTGGATAATTATGTTTATTTTCTAATTTCTATCTTGCTGG